CAGGGGAGGCGGCGGGGCGCGGGAGGCGTGGGGAGGAGGGCGGAAGAGGGAAGGAGGGCGAGGCACATCATGTGTGGCGAGACATTTCTCCTTTTTTCAAGGCAGCGCGGGAGGCAGGTGCGCGAGGCGCCCATGCCGGCCATGGGGCCGCCTCTTTAGCCGCCGGCCGCCCGCACGCGCTCCCGCGCGCCCCGGCCCCCCGCCTCAATGCGCAGGCAGCCGCGCCGGTGGGCGCCGGCAGCCCGGGCGCCCCCATGCCTGCCTCCCTCCCCTCTTCCGGGCCCCCGCGCCCCCTCCCCTCCCTCACCCGTCGTCACCGTCTCCAGCGCGTAGTTTCCGCGGTACGTCTCCGCGCCCAGCATGATGGCGTCCACCCCGTCCAGTACCGCGTTGGCAATGTCGGTGGCTTCCGCGCTGCGGGGAGGGAGGGGCGGCACGCGGGGAGGCAAGGGTGGGGCGGGCAAGGGTGGTGGGCTAGGCTGGTGGGGCGGGCTGGAAGGCGGAAGGGCAGGCCCAACCCCCGCGGCCCAATCAGCCGCGGCCCCGCCCATCGCCGCTGCTCAAATCGCGACACACCCAGCAGCCCCCCTTCAGGCCGCCGCTCCCACCCCGGGAGGCAGGCACACGGATGCTGCCGGCGCCGCCGCCGCCGCTCCCGGCAGCGGCAAGGCCCGGGCCTGGGCGGTGTGCGTGCCCGCGTGTGTCCGCCTCACCGCGTGGGGCGCGGCGTGCGTATCATGGTGTCCACCACGCGGGTGATGATGGAGGGCTTGCCCAGGATGGCGCATGTGGAGATCATCGCCTTCTGCACCATGGCCATCTTCTCGGGCACCTGAGGGGGGGCAGCAGGGGCGGGGCGGGGGGCGGGGCAGGCGTGGGTGTGCAGTGCTTGGTTGGTGGTGTGCTGGGTGTGGGTGTGGGACAGGAGAGGGCGGCGGGCGGCGGGAGGGGAGGCGGGGCAGGGCGGCGGATGGGCCGCATGCGCCACCCACCCACCCACGCGCGGCCCCACACCCCCGCCCAGCCCCACACCCACACACCGCACCCACACCCACGCACCACGTCCAGGCCCAGGTTGCCGCGGGAGATGATGATGGCGTCTGCGGCGTCCACCAGGGTGCGGAAGTTGAAGAGGCTCTGCCGCGTCTCGCACTTGGCGATGATCTGCGGCGGCGGCGGGCGGGGGGGCAGGCAAGGCGGGTTGGCGGGTGGGATGGCTGGCCGGGGCGGGGTGGCGGTGGCGGGGCGGGGCCAGGGAGGCACGCCAGGGGCCGCCACCAGCGCGGGAGGCGGGAGGCGGAGGCGACAGAGGGCGCTGCAGGCGCGGTGGTGCCAGCGGGTGCGGTACAGGTGCGGGCGATGATGCGGCACAGGGGCCCCCGCTCGCCTTGGTGTGGTCTGCGCGGATGGAGGAGAGGAAGTCGCGGCACTCGTGCACGTCGTCGGCGGAGCGGCAGTAGGACAGGCTCACAAAGTCCACCTCGAACTCGCTGCGGCAGGGGAGCAGGCAGGGGCAGGGGGCCAGGGAGCGGGCCGGGCGCGGGTGGCGGCCGCGTGCTGGGCGGGCGGCAGCGGGGCGGGCGCGGGGAGCACACCGAGGCATGTGCACAGTGGGAGGCGCGGGGCGCGCCGCTCACTTGCACAGCGCGGCGATGGCCTGCTTGTCAAAGTCGGTCAGCGCCGGCAGGTCGTTCTGCAGGTTGCTCAGGCTCTCTGCGGACGGCGCAGGGGGGCAGCGGTCGCGGGCGGGTGGGCGCACAGCGGGCATACGCCAAGCATCAGCGCGGGGCGGGTGCCACGCCGGCGAGGCGCGGGAGCGGGCACGCCATGCCACCCCACACCTCACACACACACACGCACACACACACACACCACCACCACCGCCGCCACCAGCCCAGCCAGCCTCACCTCCCGACCGCTCCAGGTGGAACACCATGAGCAGGCCGTCCAGCACAGCATCCGCCCCCGCCGTGCACACCACATCGGTGCCGCTCACCTCCTCCACCTGCTCAGGCAGGCGCAGGCGCAGGCGCAGGGGCGCAGGGGTGAGTGGCGGCAGGGCGAGGAGCGCGTTGCGGGCTGCGCCAGCGCAGCGCACGCGGCGCCACGCCGCCGCCCGCTGGCCGGCCGGCAAGCCAGGCAGCCGCGCGCCGGCCCAGGGCTGCCCGCAGCCCTGCTTGTTGTGCTGCTTTCTTTCTTCCGCACCTTGAGGAAAACGGAGGAGTCGTCTGCGCCGGTGGCCAGGTAGCGCCCCAGGAAGATCTGGTCGCCGGGCTGCAGCGGGGGCGGGGGCGGGGCGGGGGCGGGGGAGGCGGGCGGCGTGATGCGGTGCCGGGGGCACAGGGGACCCGCGGCGCGCAGAGGGCACGGGCGATGCACGTACTAGGCGGCAGGCGGCGGTGCGGCACAAGCAGGCCGCGGCGCAGTACAGCGTGCAAAGTACGGTACTGCATGGTACAGCAGGTACAGCATACCTCGCACATGGCCGGGAACTTGGGGTAGGTGATGGGCAGCACCTCGTTGGTGCAGTCCAGCGACGTGTCGGTGGTGATGGTCACGCGCTGCCCCTGCTTGATGTGCAGCTGCTCAAAGATGCCAGGCCAGCCGTTCTCGTCCACGCCGTACTTGCGCTTGATCATCAGCTCGCGACCCAGGCAGTCCAGCATCACCGCGCACAGCCTGCAGGGGCAGGGGCGGCGGGGGCAGGCGGGGGCGGGGGGGCGTGGCGCGGCGTGCCACAGGGCGGGCGGCGCATCCCTCGCCCGCCGGTTGCGCCACGCCGGCCTGGGCACCCGAACCCCGGCTGCTCCCTGCACACTGCCAGGCGCGGAGCGCTGCTCTGCCACGCAGCCACACATGCCGCCGCCCCTGCCACCCTGCCAGCCTCCAGCCCGCACCTCTTGGTCTGGCGCATCGCCTCATGCAGGTTGATGAGCGAGGTGCGGTGGTACTCAATGGGGGCCCACTGCAGGAGGGGCCAGGGCCAGGCCAGGCAGCAGGCAATGGGGGGGTCGGCGGCGAGAGCGAGCCGGAGCGGGGAGCGGAGGTAGAGGCATATCGATGCAGGCATGCGGCCGCCACGGGCCCTGCGGCGGCAGCATGCGCCGGCCCAAGCGGCGCGATCCGCATCGGCAACGGCTGCAGCGACCGGCAGCGGCAGCGGCTGCCGCGGCCCCTGCGTGCAGCGCGCGTGCGGCGGGCGTGCGGGCGGGGCGGGCGTTCTCACCGTGAGGTCGATGCGGGCGCAGGTCACTCCCGCCTCCAGCAGTTCCGCCAGCTTCTCTACCGTCTGGCATGCTGGTCCCACGGTGATCGCGACTGCATGGGTGCATGCAGGGCGCTGCGTGAGCCTGGTGCAGGGCAATCTGGCTGCCCCAATCTGGCAGGCTGCGCCGCGCGCGGGGCCGGCAGCAGACGAGGCGGCGCCGCCGCCGCCGCCATGTCCGCGCATGTGCGCGGCAGCCCTGCGGCGCTCCGTCGGCCTGCCCGCCCGCCAGAAGCCTTTGGCAGGCGCCCGGAGCGATTGTATGGGGTGTGCAGGGGCTGGCAGGAGCCCAGGGCGCCGGGCTGCACACCCTCCAGGGCAACTAGCTGCTCCCCGTGGCCGCTGCCTGTGTGCCGATTTGGACTCACTCTTGGTCTTGGCCACTGTATTCTTGGTGGGCAGCTCGTGCAAGACCTGGGATAGGTCGTCATCCTTGAAAAAATGACATTTCGCCCGAGTTATGTGGCGCTGCACCATATTTCGGCGGTGATGAGCGGCAACACCGACTCCCAGGGGGCGGGGGACCCAATTGGCGGGGTTGCACAAGTGAGCCCTAAGCCGCGCAGCTGGTGGCTCTCGGCGGGCTTGCGGCTGGACCAGGGCTTCCACTAATGCAACCAGGAGTGGACAACAATGTAGCGGGGCCAATGGGGAGTTTCCCGCGGGCGGCCAGATGGCGTGCTGTGTGCTTCGTCGGGTTGGCTCATGAGGCGCCTCGGGGCTCCCGACCTGTCATTTCTGTTTGCTCCAACCCTCCCAGGAGCTTATTTAACCCATCCTCCATCCCTCCAGCTAACCGAGCCTCAGACCTCCCGCACATATTCCGATCCGCCCCAGACCGAGCGTGAGAGGCCCTCAAGGACCACCCACCACACCCCACCATGCCCGCCTTCTCCCTGGCTGTGACCGGTGTGGCGGCAGCACGGCCCAGCGCGCCGGCCCGCCCCCATGCATCCCCAACCGCGTTTGTGCCAGCAGGCGCTGCCGCGTCGCACCTGCACGCGGCGGGCGCCTCCAACATTCTACCGGGACCTTCGGCCCTGGCCACGAGCGCCGCGCTGACCGTGGAGGCACTTGCACCGAGCGCGTCGGCGCCCGCGGCGGCGCCAGCCCTTGGGTCCCCCGGGCGGGCGCAAGACCGCGAGCGCGTCCACAACATGCTGTCGTCGTGGGAGCGATTCATGTGAGACTGATAAGAACTGCCAACCTTTTGGGCGCGTTGACCTTACCCCATTCTGCGCCGGCCCCCTTTTGAGCTGAGTGCCTGTTCCCGACCCAAGCAAGGCGCGAGTCCCTGAGTGTACTGCTAGCATTCCCATCCCTTGATATGCCTAAAACACCGCGCCCCAAACCCGCTCCCACCCCAATGTGATATCTCCCCGGCTTGCTGCCCCCTTTGCCATCCTTTTGTGTGGGCGAGCCACCTGTCCCCTGTTTCTGTGCCCGCTCGAGAGCTGCGTGCTGCGCTGAGTGCCCTCTGCCCACCCCACCTGCTGCTCAGCCTTGATATCAGTCTCCCCCAGCACTTCCCGATTCTTCCTCGATTCTTATCATTACAATGTGTGCGGCACGCCGTGCCCGGCCGAGCAATGATACACGCTGCCGGCGCGGCGCCCTGCTCGCGCGCCACACAACCGTACCCGTACCCGCCCGCGGTGGCCGAACCGCCCAAGTGTAAATTGCGCATTTGCAGCTGGCCGGAGGGATGGGAGGAGCCACAGGCAGGAGGCTGGGGAATCGGCTGGCAGGCTTGTTGGCAGCCACATGAGTAGTGTTGGGGGCCCACAGCTGGCTGCCTGGCATCGCCTGCCGCCAGCCTGGTGCTGCAGATGGGGCGGCGGCGGCTGCTGCTGCTGGGGCCAGCTGCCTGCCACGTCAGCTGACCTCCATCTCCATGGGCTCCCCCTCCACCACCTGCACCGCCCGCCGGATGTCGTACACGCGCTCCCGCACCACCGCTGCAGGGCAGGGCAGGCGGGCAGGGCAGGCTGGTGGGCAGGCAGGCTTGGCAGATTCGCGGGCCCCGTCCTGGGGCTGGCTGGCTGCTCGGCGGAGCAAGCAAGCAAGCAAGCACAGGTGCATGTCGGGGGCACTCACGTACTGATCCCGAAGCAAACTTCTGCGGGAACTGCCGCTCGTAGGTCTTGGTCTGCAGCGCAGATGATGCCAGCGGGGCAGGTCAAGGCAAACCTCACCCCAAGCTCCTGGCCTGCCCTGCCAGCCAGCCACGCCTCCCCACGCGTGGCGGCGGAGCCCCCTCCCAGTGCTGCCTGCCTGCCTGGTGGCGCAGCAGGCAGGCTTCCCTCCCGTATGGGCCCTCCTGCCACACACCACCACGCACCACACCACACACCACCCACCACACACACAAACACACACACGCAACAACAACCCACAGCACAGGCACCAGCACCAGGCACCGCCAGGCGGCCCCCACCTGCAGGTACTCGTGGTTGCGCAGGTACTCCACCCCGTCCTTGGTGATGATGCACAGGTCCACGTTGCTGCCGCTGCCCAGGTCGTTCATGACGCCAGACCTGCGTGTGGGAAGGGGGGAGGGAGGGGGGTGGGTGTCTGCCAGCGGCTACGCACAGAAGGGAGGCGGGAGCGAGGCACGGCGGCAGCGCAGCCACGCGGCGAGGGGGAGCCTTGGCCGCGCGGGGCACGAGCGGGGCGCAGCACCGCGTCTGTGCTCTGCGCGGCACAGACGCAGGCGCGGGCGCGGCACGGCGGCGCCAAGGGACGCCAGCGGGGCGCCAGCGGGGCGCCAGCGTGGCGCACCTGATGGCGCGCGCCACCAGCGCCATCGCCTCCTCCCTGCTCATGTCGTCCTTGAATCCCGCCTCAAACACCGCCATGGCGTTCAGGCTGCCAGACCCCATGGTGGCAAAGGGCAGCGAGTCGGTGGAGCCGTGCGGGTAGACGGTGAAGAGGTGGGGGCCGCGGAAGTCGACGCCGCCCAGAACCAGCGCCGCAGACACGTGGCCCTGGTACCTGCGGGGGGTGGCGGAGGGGCCGGGGGAGGAGGCAGGGGGCGGGCAGGGGTCGGGGGCTTCGCACGGGAGTGCAAGCTCAGAGATTGGAGGGTGGAGCAGGTGTGGGAGGGGCGGCGGAGGCCAGGCGAAGGATGCGGGGGCGTGCGCGGCGGGCGCGCCGGCGCGCTCACTTGAACAGGTGGCCCTTGAGCAGCGTCATGGCTGTGACCACGCGCGACTGGGTGCCCGTGGCGTAGCGGTGCAGCTCCAACTGGCTGGCCACCATGCCCGTCACGTTTTCGGTGTCGGCCGCGGTGCCCGCGCCGCAGCAGTAGATGTTGGGCGCGATGAAGTGAATCTTCTCGCAGTTCTTGTCGGCCACGGTGGAGCCCGCGGTGGAGCGCGTGTCGGCGCCCAGCACCACGCCGTCCTGGGGGCGGGCGGCAGGGGAGGCAGCGGGAGAGGCGGGTGGGGGGCCAGGCGGAAGGCAGGGGGAACCACGGAGGCGGCCGGCCCGCTGGCAGGCCAGGGCTGAGCAGGCGGCGGCTAGCAAGGCAAGGCAGCACCTCAAGAGCACATCCCTGTTCGCAGGGAAGTGCAGGCAGGCAGCACGGCGGGGGCGGGAGTTCCGGCAGGAGGGGTGGCGGTGGCGGGCGCGGCGCAATGATCTGGAGACCTCCTGCGCCCCACCAGGACCCGCCAGCGCACCTTGAATATCAACCCCGCAATGGTTGTGCCTGTCTTGGTGAAGCCGGGGTGCTGGACGCCCTTGGCCGCGAAGAACTCATTCCGCTTGCACAGGTCGAAGCTGAAGCCGCCCTGCTGGGCCGTTTCCATGCTGCCCGCACGACTGCACCTGCCAGCGCTGCCAATCCCTCCGAACTATGTGCCACGCCCGACGATCACCGTGATGACTGTGGAGCAGGCGTGGGAGGGTGCTCGTTGAATGGGGGGTCGCCCGGCTGATTGCGAGGACTGAGCCGATCGCATGCTGGAGCCTCAGGACGACCGTCTAGAGCGCAGCACGCCGCAGGGGGACACCATGGCGGGCCCCATACAGCTTGTGGAGCCTTGATTTCCCGTTTCGCACTGCCCCTATCAGTCACCAGCCCTCCCCGATCAAGCAGCACGTCTGGCCGCCCTGTTCGCCTCGTAGCCGCGTGATCACAGCGCCGGCGACTCTGTCTGCCGGCTTTTAGAGTGCACGGCTCGAGGCAGCGCCAGCCGGAGCAGCCATGGCGGCGGAAATAGTCGACCCCACTATACCCGTTGTGAAAAACATGCTGCTGCTGGACTCGGAGGGCAAGCGGATTGCGGTCAAGTACTTCACGCCCGAGATGTGAGCTCCGGGAGGCGCAGGCGGGACGCTGGGCGGGCGTGGGCCTCCCGGCGGGTAGGCGGGAGCGGCCAGCGCGAGCAGCCCCGCCGCTCACCACAGTCTCTCGATGCCCCTGCAGGTACAGCGTCACGGCACAGGCCAACTACGAGAAGTCGGTCTTTGCCAAGACGTCGCGGACAAATGCGCGGGGAGAGGGTGCGCCTGCCTGCCGCTGGGCGGCTCGCTTGAACTGCAGGCGCAGCGGCAGCGCACAGCAGGACATTGGGCTTGCAAGGCAGGCCACGGCAGCCCACGTGCTACAGCCGTGTCCCCGCAGCGGCGTCGCATGCTACCGTGTGGCGCAAGGCACCGGCCCGTCTCCCACCACCCACCCGCTCGTGCTCCACCTCCCCCTCCACGTGCTCGCCTCCCTGTCCTGCCGCCCCGCAGCCGAGATCATCATGTTTGACGACGTGGTGGTGGTGTACAAGTTCCTGGGGGATCTCATGTTCTACGTGACGGGAGACCAGGACGAGAACGAGGTGCGGCACTGAGGCGACACGTGGTCGCTCGTTTTCTTGCGGGGCATACAGGGCATAGCATGCCGCGCCCTACGTGAGCATCGTGCAGCCTGCTTCCCGCA